TAGAAAGTTGCCCTGTTCCGTGGAAGCAAGGTTCCTTGCTCCAGGCCTTTTATCTCTCAAGGGCATTATCCCCAATTATCATCTTACATTCTTAACTCCATCTTAGTATTTATTTTCTGAAAGACCCAAATTGATACAAACTGCCATTCACCACTGTATCCACTTTGAGAACATTTTTTATAAGGTACTCAATCAAGTATTTCAAGAGTCTCTTCATTATGATCAAAATGTTTCCAGCAATTTCTTCAATGGAATTCACAACTAGGTAATTCAGACAATAAAAAGCATTTATTACCCTGCCCCACAATCTCCTTCAACCTACATATACTACAGCTATATTTTTAGCAGCTATTATATCCAGTTTTTTTTCTTGTACAATAAAACACTGATAAGCCTGTCATGCAAGCCTAAATTTGGGCTGCTCCACATCAACCCAAATTATTCTTATGATGATTCATATTGAAAGGTTTTGTTCCATAAAGACAAATGATTTTAGCCGGCACCAGTGGCTCATGCCTGTAATCCTAGCTACTCAGGAGGCTGAGATCTGAGGATCATGGTTCAAAGCCAGACTAGGTAGGAAAGTCCGTGAGACTCTGATCTCCAAGAAACCACCAGAAAACCAGAAGTGGCGCTATGGCTCAAATGGTAGAGTGCTAGACTCAAGCTGAAGACATCAAGGACAGCACCCAGTTGTGGAGTTCACACCCTATGACCAACAAACAAACAAACAAAAGACAAATGATTTTTCTGGAAGGTCAAATAGTCAAGTGATGACTTTTTCTTATGAGAGTCAGTGAATTCCTTGAGTAAAAATATTTTTATTGGGCTGGGAAGGTGTCTCAGTGGTAGAGCGCTTGCCTTGCATGCATGAGGCCCTGGGTTCAATTCCTCAGCACCACATAAGCAGGGGAAAAAAAGCCGGAAGTGGCACTGTGGCTCAAATGGTAGAGTGCTAGCCTTGAGCTGAAGAGCTGAGGGACAGCGCCCAGACCCAGAGTTCAGGCCCCACGACCGGACCCAAAAAAAAAAATTATTCTTATTTTTATTTTTATTTATAATGGTCACTTATCTCATCATGAAAGTGAGTTTAAAAAGCCCTTAATGTAATTGATAAGCATCCAGTGCTTTTCATAATCTTCATATTTAACTCAAGTAGAGAAAGCAACAGTATTTTAGACATTTTAATCAGGGTAGACTAGTTTATATGGCAGTAATGAAACACTGAAATTTCATTGTCTTAACCAAAGGTTTATTTCATATTCATACAAAGTCCCATGAAATGATTCCTGTCTGGTGATCTTTCTCTTGAGCACTGAACTCAGGAATCCAGGTTCTTTAAAGTACATTATCATTTCAGAATCCTTTGCCTCCTGTTGCACCAATGATAGAAAGATTGAGCAGAAAACCCTATGGAGGAATATTATATGAGCCAGGTCAAGAAATGGCAGTACCAAGGCCTGGCACCAGTGGTTCACGCCTGTAATCCTAGCTACTCAGGAAGCTGAGACCTGAGGATCGCAGTTCAAAGCCAGCCTGTGCAGGAAAGTCCATGAGACTCTTATATCCAATAAACCACTAGAAAACCAGAAGTGGCGCTGTGGCTCAAGCGGTAGAGCACTCGCCTTGAGCTGAAGAGCACAGGGACAGCACCCAAACCCAGAGTTCAAGCCCCACGACTGACCAAAAAAAATGGCTGTATCAATCCCATACATATTCCATTGCCAGAACAAAACCATAAGATGAGCCAGATGTCAGTGGATCATATCTATAATTGTAATAACTCAGGAGGCTGACATCTTAGAATCTGTTTGAAACCAGCCTAGGAAATGTGCCCCACCCACTGGGGGGATTTATTTATGTTTAAGATTGATATACAGGGATAGAGGTGTAGCTCAGTAGTAGTATGTCTCATGTGTGGGAAGCCCTATGGTCATCCCCCAGTGCCCTGAAAAGAACAAAAGATCAATATACATGATGTGTCAATTCTTCACAAGTGAAGGAGACTCTGGTTGTGGCAAATATGAACACATCTAGTTAGCACATTATATCATAAAAACACAGAAGGCATCAAGTATATAGCTTGCTGTTCGTATTACTCATATTACTGTTGAACTTATCTGCAGAGGAAAAGTAGACCAAAATTAACTTTTGAAGCTAAAATACATCAATTCATGTTGTTCTTGGCCTATAGCTATCAAGGCTGAAAATGGCTCTTCTGCCTGTGACTCACTGGAATCTGTTATTTGTGCAGAATGCAAAAAGAATGACAACACTAAAGAAAAGGGTGCACCTGGTTCTAAGAGGGGTACCATTGAAGTTTTCATAGAGGTTGCCTTAAAACAAAGCCAAAAGAACACAATTCACTAGAGCCAGTCTGCACACAACAGAGTGTGGCAGCAACAGCTCCAATCTCAGGGCAAATCTCTGAAGGAATTCTAGCATCCAGTCATGTTGGCAACACATTGCTGGAATTAAAAGTTTCTCTATTGATGCTCCTATAGTCCAATTCAAGCTCTCTAAAAGTCCTCTGTCCTGTGATCTTCAGAATCATACATCTACTTTCTCTAGTTGTCCACAGCCATGAACACAGCAAAACATGAACATGAACCATTCCTGGGCTGGGGCGAGAGTGGTAGCTCAGTGGTAGTGAGTTTGCATAGCATGAGTGAGGCCCTGAGTTTCAGAAAACAAGCCAAGCAGACAAACAAAAGCAAGCATTTCTCAATTTCTGAGAATAGAGCAAAGCTTCTGTAACTAGAACATGTTCTCCCGATTGAAATCCTGCAATGGCTTTTGGAAAAGTTTCCTCTACTTCTTTCTAGTAGACACTTTCAAAATCCTTTCAAGTGCCTTGAATCATTATAAATGTTTGAGGTGATAGACATGCTAATTACTCTGATCATTACACATTGTATGAGCATCCAAATATCAGACCATATGTCAAGAATATATGCTATTATTTTTATTGTGATTATAAAGGTGATGTACAGAGGGGTTACAGTTACATAAGTCAGGTAATGAATACATTTCTTTTTGGACAATGCCCCCTTCCCTGCCTGTCTCCCCATTTTTCCCTCCCATCCCCACCCAGAAGTTGTATTTTCATTTTCCTTTTTAACATAGTGTCTATTGAGTACCACTGCTACATTTGTTCACCCTTTATCCCTCCTTTTCTGTGCCTCTCTTGTCCCCCCAAAACAGATAAACAAGACCAAAAAAAGAAACAAAAAAAATTCTTTCAGCTATATATGCTATTTGTATATGTCACATACCCCTACATTCTTACTTTAAAAGAAAAGGTTTCTATTATCATTGTGGGGTAGTAAATGTAGAAAATAATAAGCAACTCTAAAAGCTTCTGGGCCGGGAACATCTTGCTCATGCTCACAGTTGGCTGTTTCTTTTCTTGTAATTATTATTATTATGGACATTTAAAAAAAAGAAATAAAATTGAAATGTTAAAAAATTAAAATGTTTCTTTATTCTGGCCAGGTTGCTCTTAGCCCTACTTTGCCAGTTTTCCTCTTAGCTAAAAGAAGCATTGAAAATGTCCCCACACAAGTTGCACTTAGCAGTGCTAGTGGATATACTTGTAATGCAGCTTTTAGTGGATGACTCCAGATACTCAGCCTAGATCTGACCCCTCTCTCTGCCTTGTAGTGCTCACATGACTTTGAACAAGTCATTATCTCTTATGTCCTAATGTCTATAAAATAATGATGTCTTCTATAAAGTAATATCTAATCATAACTGGCATCTATATACTGTCCCCATCATTGCTCATTTAAATAGTTGAGGAAAAAACTTCTAGGAAGAGGAAACTATTATCCCCATTTTACACTTGAAAATGAGGCACAAAGAGATTGAGCAACTTCCCCCAAAGGTACACAGCTAGGAAGCTGTGCAGTCAAGGATGTTAAAACATGATAATAGTTCTAATCTTCACACCCACAGCCTCTGCAAATGAGGAATATGTCCTAAGCACTGTTCTGTGGATCTACTCAGGAGATACATGTGAAGCCATTTGTGTGTGTGTCTGTGTCCTAGCACTGAAGTTCCTCAAGTTTTTGTGCTCAAGGGTAGCACTCTATCACTTGGGCCAAAGTTCCACTTTTGGTTTTGTGGTGGTTAATTGTAGATAAGAGTCTCACAGACTTTCTTGCCCAGGCTGGCTTCAAATGGAGATCCTCGGATCTCAGCCTTCTGAGTAGGTAGGATTACATGTATGAGCCAAGTGGCAGTGGCAGGAAAGTCTGTGAGAGTCTTATCTAATAGGTAGGAGCTGTGCTTGTTATCAAAGGTCATCCATTCTGTACTTGCACAATCTTCCAGTCTTGTTTTTTGTTTGTTTGTTTTTGTTTTGTTTTTTGATACTGGGGCTTGAACTCAGGGCCTCCTAGTTTCACTGGGCTGATTTCACTAATGGTTGGTGCTCTACATTTGAGACACAGCCCCAGTTCTGGCTTTTTGGTGGTTCACTGGAGATTCAAGTCTCAAGGGTCTTTCTGCCTGGGCTAGCTCCAAACATCGATCCTCAAATCTCAGCCTCCTGGGCAGCTAGGTGAGCTACAAGTGCCCAGCCAGGCTTTTTCTTTAAACAGAAGTGGGGGGGGGGGAGGGGGCGGGATGTGAGGGAAGCAGACAGGGCCAGGTGGAATGTGAAAGAGGCAAACAGGAAGAGAAGCAATGTCTGGATTCTTAGCAAACAGCCTACCTGGCTAGGCCTTGAGGGTTTTGGGTGATGATTTTCCAGGCAGGGAAGGTGGAAGATCGAGCCTGGCAAACGTGACTTTCCCTGGATCCCCGGGTCGCCTTCCTAGACACGCCTTCCCAGACCCGCCCTTGGCCCAGGCCTAGGGCGTGAACTAGGCTCAGCGTTGCTTCTGCAGGTCCGTCCCACATCGGGAGGGGCCTGGCCCGACCCTCTGCCGGTAGGCCAGTGGCCGGCGAGCGCCCGGGCGCTAGCCGCGCACTTGCCGGGACTCTAGCTGAGCCAGATGGCTACGTGGAGGCGGGACGGCCGACTGACTGGCAGCCAGCGGCTGCTGTGCGCGGGGCTGGCAGGGGCGCTGAGCCTCACCCTCACAGCACCCCTGGAGCTGGCCACTGTGTTGGCCCAGGTCAGCGTTTGGCGAGGCCACGCCCATGCCCCGTGGGCCACCGCGCGTCTCGTGTGGCAGGCCGAGGGGCTCCGGGCCCTGTGGAAGGGGAACGCGGTGGCTTGCCTGCGCCTCGTTCCCTGCAGCACCGTGCAGCTCGCCGCCTACCGCAAGTAAGGGTCGGCGGGAGGAGCCGGGAGGGGCCTTGTCGTGCTACAGCACCCCCTCTTCCGTACCACATCGCAGGGGGGGGGTCTTCTCAGAGCCACACATGAGATCCACACACAGAGAGTGGCAAGTGTGAAGCTTTCTGCATTTTCCTGGAATGCCTGCCGTACAACTAGTAACACCTTGAGGCTCTGGGGTTTGGACCTTGGGCGGGAGGTGAAATGCAAAAGAGAGATGTTGAGGACAGGAATGGAGACGTCTCTAGAGAGTTGACTACTGACCTTTTATTTGTACCATCCAAAAAAGTGGGGATTTTTGCTTTGCCTAGCTTAGTAGAGACCCAGCTGAAGGTGTGTCTCTGTAGCCAGTGGAGTAAAAACAAAGTGGTCAGTGTAGGGAGAAGCACCTGTTACATTGTCTCAGGCAATGTACCCTCAAACCCAGCCACACAAAACTTGCCTGTATGGTCCAACAGAGGCTGCAGCAGGGAGCCATTTCCTGGGACTAATGTTTTCTTCCATCCTTAGCTGCCCACTGGCTTTATTTTATTCTCTGGCTTTTCCCCAACTCTTTCCCACATTAACAGCTGCTCCTTAAGAAATGATGGCAAATGACTGATGAGTATAAAAAGCTTTCTGGGGTTCAGAGACATTTGCATGGCAACTGGGAAAGAAAGCCAAAAAAAAAAAAAGGTAGTTGAGCACCTGTGGCTTACATGTGTAATCCTAGCTACTGAGGAGGCTGAGATCTGAGGATCATAGTTCAAGGCCAGCCCAGGCAGACAAATCTGAAACACTCTATTAATCAGGAAAAAACAAAAGCAAAAAAAAAAAAAAAAAGCAGGCCAAGTCCAAAGACTGTCTTTGAACTTGAGGTATGACTCAAACATTAGAGTGCCTATTTAGCAAAGGGACAAGACAAGTTCAAATCCCACTACCACTGAGAAAAGAAAGGAATGTTCAGCTAGATGCTCATGGCTCATGCCTGGAATACTAGCTACTCTGGAGGCCAAGATCTAGAGGATATAAGTTTGAAACCAGCCTGGGCAGAAAAGTCCAAGAGACTCAAATTAACCAGCAAATTAACCTAGACTGGATACATGGCTTAAGTGGTAGAACACCAGCCATGAGCAAAAAAGCCAAGCAAAAAGCCCTGAGTTCAAGCCCTAATACAAAATAAGAAAATAGTAATGAAAAGGTTGACTTTGACTCTGAGAGAGAACCGGTCACCAGTATATTTTTTTTTTAATTGCAGAAGCTAGAACCCAGGGCTTCAAGCATGCTAAATAAAGATTTTGCATTAACCCTGTCACTTGGAAGGGCAGAACTTCCAAGGCTCACCTGGCAGGCGAGAAGTCAAAATCCTCTACACCATCACTTACCTCTGGGAGAATTGCCTTGTCTTTCTCTGTGGATACAATCATGGTTGGTAGGATCCTGTAGCATTTCTATCAAGGGTCTCTTCCCTTCCCACTCCCCCTGCCCTTCAGCAACATCTGTCCTGCAGTCTGCAAATCATTCTCTTCTGCAATTATTCACTTTTTTGGCAGGACTGGGGTTTGAACTCAGGGCCTCGTTCTTGCTAGCCACTTAAATAATAACTCCAGCCCTTTTTGCTTTATTTTTCAGATAGGGTCTTGAACTTTTTCCCAGGCAGGCCTCACACCATAATCCTCGTACCTCTGCCTCCTGAGTAGCTGGGATTTGGGGGTATATGCCACCATATGCAACCCCTTCTGAGTTTCAGCAACTCAGTTTCTCCCCTATGTCTCCCTCTTTTCCACAAAGTGATTTGCTAATCTTCCTGTGCTTAAGAGAGAATGTTTAACTAGGAGCAGGGGGCACTAATGGCTTTTTGAACAACTGCCTCGTGTGTTTATATCATTTGATGTTTTCTCCTTCTTCCTCTGGCCTTCAAAGTTCCATGGGGCAGGAAATGTTATGCCCATTTCACACATGTAGAATTGGGCTTAGTCTGATCCACCACTTATCAGTGACATAGCGTAGTGCAACCACGTGGCCTTCTGACTCCAGATCTTATGCTCAGTTATCTCTGGCCACCTTTCCTTCTCTCTACATTCATTTGACATTAATTTAGTCCACGAAGTACATGATATGTGCATGATGCTGGGGACAGTGCAAAGATGAAAGTGTCACAGTCCCTCTTCTCAGGAGTTTACAGAGTAATAGACCAATAAGAGTAGTGTACTTGGCTGGGAATATGGCTTAGTGGTAGAGTGCTTACCTAGCATGCATGAAGCCCTGGGTTTGATTCCTCAGTACCACATAAACAGAAAAACCAGAAGTGGCACTGTGACTCAGGTGGTAGAATATTAGCCTTGCGCAAAAGAAGCTCAGGGACAGTGTTCAGGCCCTGAGTTCAAGCCCCAGGACTGGCAAAGAAAAGAGTAGTGTACTTATTCCATAATCAAAACACACACAGTGGCGTGTGATTGCCATTGAAATATAATGGTCATAGAAATGTATACTTCAAAGCCTGGTGCCAGTGTCTCATACCTGTTATCCTAGCTACTCAGGAGGCTGAGATCTGAGGATAGCGGTTCAAAGCGGCTCAAGGAGTAGAGCGCTTGCCTTGAGCTGAAGAGCTGTTCCTCCAGGTCAGTGTTCAAGCCCCACAACCGACCAAAAAAAAAAAAAAAAGCTCAGGGACAGTGCCCAGGCACTGAATTCAAGCCCCATCTCTCTCTCTCTCTCTCTCTCTCTCTCTCTCACACACACACACACACACACACACACACACAGTATACTTCAGCCAGCCAGGTACCAGTGGCTCACCTCTGTAATCCTAGCTACTCAGGAGGCTGAGATCTAAGGATTGCAATTCAGAAAGTCCATGAGACTCTTATTTCCAATTAACCACAAAAAGCTGGAAGTTGAGCTGTGCTTCAAGCAGTAGAGTGCTAACTTTGAGCACGAAAGCTCAAAGACAGGGCCCAGGCCCAGAGCTCAAGCCCCAGGACTGGCAAAAATAAAAAGAAAGCAAGCAAGAAATCATATACGTCAGGTATGAGAGGGGAAGGAGAATGTGTAAAGATTCCCAGAGGAGGAGAAAACATGTGAGTTATCCTTGGACAAAAGAGCCTGAGTCTGGTGGGCAAAAATGGGAGATAATTAAAGGAATGTTGGCAAAGATGGAAGAGGAAAGGCATGCAGCAGGACTGGAAATACAAGCTGAAAAAAAGCAGGGCCTAATGAGATCTTGGAGGATTGGATTAAGGATTTTAGTGCTGGCTTGGCATTCAAAGGTGACTGTGGGAGACTTTTGTGCAGGGTAGAAGGCAGCATACTGTGATCAAAATGTTCCACAGGGAAGGATTGTCATATGATGGCAGAGAGAAGGAAGACTGCTGGTGGCCGGAACCAGTTAGGAAACTGTAGCATTAGTGTACCTGGCAGCCATAGCCATTGAACTAGGCTGGTGCCAGTAGAAAAAGAGGCTCATACTTAGACTTGTTGAAAGAAAATACTTTATATTCTAGTTTTAAAATAACCGGTTATAATGAAAACCTTTTCCAAACATAGTTTAGTATGTTTACTTTTTTTTCTTGTCAGTCATGGGGCTTGAACTCTGGGCCGGGGCACTGTCCCTCAGCTCTTCAGCTCAAGGCAAGTGCTCTACCACTTGAGCCACAGCACCACTTGCAGTTTTCTGGTGGTTTATTGAAGGTAAGAGTTGCCCAGGCTGGCTTTGAACTGTGGTCCTCAGATCTCAGCCTCCTGAGTAGCTAGGATTACAGGCTTGAGCCATTGGCACCCAGCTTGTTTACTTTTTTTTTTTCCGGTCGGTCATGGGGCTTGAACTCAGGGCCTGAGCAGTGTCCGTGAGAGCCACAGCTCTATTTCCAGTTTTCTACTGATTAATTGGAGATGAGAGTTTCATGGACTTTCCTGCCCAGGCTGGCTTTGAACTGTGATCCTCAATTCTCATTCCCAAGTAGATTACAGGTGTGAGTCACCAGTACCAGAAATATTTTGTTTTTGACACAAATATTTTCTTCCTGAAAACTGAAAGTATTTTGGTGAATGGTGAGACAGAACGACATAGTGGATAATTAATTATGAGACCACCTTCCTACTTAAAGATGATACTATTGGTCCCTATATAGACTGATTCTTTTCTACTCTCTTCTGTCCATAAATATGATCAAAACAGGTGATTGGTAGTGCGGGGACTGTTTCAGATCTTGGGTTGGAAAGCATGTTACCACGCAGCAGGTTCACAGATTGGAGCAGCTAAATCACTTATCCACAGAATGAAGTGAGTTAGCTAGAATTTGAAGCCAGGTCTAGGGCTCTGTCCACCGGTGTGTGGCTGAAATGTCTGCTCATGTGGATTTATGATCAAAACAAACCACACAGGGTTCTTCTCAGAAGCAAAAAGTAGCTGGCACAACGGATGGCATTCAAAAGCATCAGACCCTCCCCCAGCCTCGTTCCGTGGTTGTTTGTCTTATCCAGTCATTGAGGCTCTGTATTGTTGAGGACCAACACTATTTCCTCATTGCTTAACACTCGGTGAGCTTGTTTGGCTGTATTGGCTGCTAGCCTGCCCTAGGCTGACGCATTAGCAAGTCCTAATCACGTGTATCCAGGGTGTGGAGAATTTGTGCTGGCTGAAAGGAAGGGGTTACTGCAGTTCACCAGCTCATCCAGTCTTGATAGAAAAATCTTCAGAGCCTGTATGTATGGGAGGGGGTGGGAGGAAAAGCAGAAACAAGAACACGGCTGCCCTAGCCAATCAGACAAGATTTTAAGGAGTAGGGACCTAAATGACATCACTGGTGGCCTATCAGGGCTGTCTAAGCTAACTTTGCAATTCTGAGGGAAGATCAGTGATCTGATGCAAGTATCCCATGGTAGGAATCTGAGAAGAAAGGACTTCTTTCAGTCCTCCTTTTTAATTTTGTATATTTGATAGTAAGACTACTTCATGAGGCAAACTGATAAAGGACAGGGTCATTCAGGATACCAGAAGCTATTTCCCCATAGTTGTCTCCAGCAGTCATCTCTTTGTCAGGACTGTTGAAGTCTCTTATATGATCTGTACAGATAGCCATATCTGGCAACTTGCAGATGTTCAAAAATAGAAGTAGCCTTAGGGTGGGGAATAAGGCTAGGAAAAAGGGAAGTTGGAGCTCCTGACATTTCAAGCGCCAATGACTGGTTGAGTATGTCTACTTCCTGTCTCTCCTGCACTTCCCTTCTCTGGCCAGAGGAGGGAAGAGAGGAAGAGATATTTGGGCAGTAACACTAAGCCAAATGATCCATTAGTGAATGACAGTTTTAGAGGCAGCGCCTGGGGTTTTAACTCAGAGCCTCCTCTTGCTAGACAGGCTTTCTGCCCCCATCCTTCAATGCCAGCTTTCATTATCTGTATCTTTATCTTTTTTTTTATTGCTGGGAAGATGGGTGCTAAGTATCAAAACCAGAGCCCTTTTGAGCCACACCCCTAACCTCTTACCTATATCTTTAAAACTAGTTACTTAATTCATGACTATTTCATTTGACCATGAAGGCAGGTTGACAAAATGAAAATACTGCTACAGCTTGAGAGATGCTTTGTGTGTCTAAGTCTGTGGTGGGTGTGTATGCTAGTCTTAAGACTTAGGGCCTGGGCACTGTCTTTTCACTTTTTTGCTCAAGGCTAGCTCTCTACCACTTGAGCCACCTCTCCACTTCCAGTTTTTCAGTGGTTAATGGAGATAAGAGTCTCACTGGCTTTCCTGACCTGGCTGGCTTCAAACCACAATCCTCAGATCCTAGCCTCCTGAGGAGCTAGGATTACAGACATGTGCTACTGGAGCCCAACTTCCTCCATGACTTTCTTAAATGTAAAACATTATAAAGCTATTCTTTTCATCCTCATTCACTTTCTCTCTCCCCTTTGCCAGAGGTATAAATATACCTTTATGTATATATATATATATATATATATACACACACACACAGAGATGTATGTATATATATGTATATATGTGTGTTTATATATGTGTGTATGTGTATGCTTCTTCACATGGATCTATCTATCTTTGGATAATTACTGTTTTCTGGATATTTCTATATTGAATGGGTGGTTACCCAATTGACTAAAACCAAAACATTTTTGGGGGGGGTCCGGTTGTGGGGCCTGAACTCTGGGCCTGGGTGCTGTCCCTCAGCTCTTCAGCTCAAGGCTAGCACTCTACCACTTGAGCCACAGCGCCACTTCCAGCTTTTTTTTCTTTTTGGCTTATGTGGTGCTGAGGAATCGAACCCAGGGCCTCATGCATGCAAGGCAAGCGCTCTACCACTGAGCCACCTTCCCAGCCCAACCAAAACATTTTTTTTAACTCAATTCTTGGGATGTTCAAAGTAATTATTTCAAGAAATTACATTCCTTTAAAGTTTTAGCAAGACTAGAAGAGACATTCCAATTTGATATCTGCAAGTGCTTTTGTACACTTCCAGCCCACAGGCAAGTTAGGCCAGATAGACAAGTGTGCATATAAAAAAGGGAAGTATGGTGGGCGCTGGCTCACGTCTGTAATCCTAGCTACTCAGGAAGCTGAGCTCTGAGGTTCAAAGCCAGCCTGGGCAGGAAAGTCTGTGAGACTCTCTTTTGTTGTTGGTGGTGGTGGTCATGGGGCTTGAGCTCAAGGCCTGGGCCCTGTCCCTGAGCTCTTTTGTCCAAGGCTAATGCTCTACCACTTTGAGACACTGCTCCACTTCTGGTTTTTGAGTGGTTAACTAAAGATGAGAGTCTCACAGACTCTCTTATAGCTAACAAGCTAAATGTACTATTCATTCACTCTAACATAATACAATAATTTCCCTTTGTAGAGTCCGTCCACACACTGGAAAGAATTTGTGGTGTAGAACACTGGCACAATCCCTAGCTGATGCCTTTGGGTTTCCCTCTGTTTCCCCAGGTTTGTTGTGCTGTTCACAGATGACCTGGGCCACATTTCCCAGTGGAGCGCCACTGTGGCGGGGAGTCTGGCCGGCATGGTGTCCACCATTGTGATGTATCCTACAGATCTCATCAAAACCCGGTTGATTGTGCAGAACATGCTGGCACCATCCTACAAGGGGCTTGTCCATGCTTTTGCTACTGTTTATCGACAGGAAGGGTTCCTGGCCCTTTATAGAGGGGTTTCCCTGGCTGTTTTAGGTAAGGTGATTAACATTGGGGGGGGGCACTGTTTATTGTGTACCAGATATTTTACCAAATGCTTTGCATATGATTTCTCATTCAAGCTTCCTTTTTATTTCTCTTTATAGTTTTTGGTTTTTGGTTTTGTTTTGTTTTGTTTACTGTTTTTGATACAGAGTCTTGCTTTAGCCAGGCTGTCCTTGAATTCTAGATCCTATGTCTCAGCCTCCTGAGTGTTGGAGTTACAGGGGTATATAATCGCACCTAACAATTTTTAGCGTTTTGTTTTTCAGTCCTGGGCATTCAACTCAGAGGCCTTGCAGGCAGACAAGTGTTTTACTTCTTGAGCCACATCCCCAAGTCCATTTTGTGTGAGCTCTTTTTCAGATTCTTTCTTGTGCTTTTTACTCAGGCTCGCCTTGGACAGGCAAAACCTCTCGTAGCTATTTTGAAATACAGAGTGTATTATTGTCAACCATAGTGGCCATGCTTTGTGATAGAACACCAGAGTATTTTCCTTCTAACTAGACCTTACTCACTTCTCAAAGGCCTCATTCAGCAGATGAGAAAACTGATGCTGAAGGGACTCTAAAGGACTTGCCCAAGGCTCCACACTTAGGCAATGGGAAAGTTCAGCACTCCAACTGCAAGGCCTCCTCTCTTAGCTACTGACCTACATCAGCTCCTTATGGCACCACCCCTTACCTTCACACTCCCTAGGCACAAACATGACCCTCGCTGATGTTCTTATTAGTCACAAACCTGTTCTTCCTCCTGTAACCTGTAGTGAATGAGGCCACTTCCTTTCACCTAGGAGGCCCAGTCAGGAGAAAGCTATGTGTCACCTTGGCTCCTCTCCCAATTCCATTTCAGTTACTAGGTACTTGTCCCTTTGACCACTTCATGCTCAAGCCTGTCCCTTCGTGGCCATCTCTTCTCTCAGGATCTTCCCAACCCACTCTTAGAGAGTCAGATGCTCCTGCAGACTCAGGCTCCAGTGTCTGCCAGTCTCAGGCCTCTCCTGCCTCAGTGTGCCATGCGCATCTCCAGGCTGTGTGATCTTTCCGCGTGCACCACCCTCCTTCAGTGCCTCAATGCTTCCCTCTGGGTTAAGGGGAAGAGCCTCAATTCCCTGTGGCATTCTAGATCTTTCCTACCTGGCCCCTGCCAACCTATATTGCTTCATCCTATCCTGTATCATGCTTCCACCCTGCATTTCTAGTCCAGACATGCAGAAAAATTTGTTTCTTCCATTTGGGTGTTTGCAAAAGAGGAGTACTGACAGCAGTCAATGTATGGTAAGGTACAAATAATTTCAATTTCTATTTTATGTCACAAGAGAAACAATTTATAGCTAAGACAGCACACTGGAGAATGTATTTAAATGAACTTGTTATATAGACACTGACTCATCTGTGAATAAACAACAGGAAAAAGAATAAAAACTAAAACCTTAAAAAGCTTTCGTCTACATGCCAGTCCCTCTGTCTGGAATGCCTTTCCACTGTCTGCATGTCTGATGAACTCCTACTCATCCCTCAAGACCCAGATCAAAAGTTCTTTCTTACAGGGCTGGGAAGGTGGCTCAGTGGTAGAGCACTTGCCTTGCATGCTTGAGGCCCTGGGTTCCATTCCTCAGCACCACATAAGCAAATAGAAAAAAGCCAGAAGTGGCGCTGTGGCTCAAGTGGTAGAGCGCTCGCCTTGAGCTGAACAGCTGAGAGACAGCGCCCAGGCCCAGAGTTCAGGCCCCACGACCGGACCAAAAAAAAAACAAAAACAATTATTGTGAATGAGAATAAGTTGGAGCTTTTTTATTTTATTTTTTTTTCTGGTCCTGGGACTTGAACTCTGGCCTGAGTTTCATCCCTGAATTTCTTTGCTTAATACTAGTGCTCTACCAGTTGAGCCACACTGCTACTTTGGCCATTTCTGACTTTATTGGAGAGAAGAGTCTCACAGACTTTCCTGCCCAGGCTAGCTTTGAACTGTGATCCTCAGATCTCAGCCTCCTAAGTAGCTAGGATTACAGGTGTAAGCCACCAGCACATGGCTCACATGTCATTTTTAATGTGTCTTTTTTTTGTGCCACTATTGATGTTTAAACTTGGGCCCTGGGTGCTATTCCTCAGCTTTTTCAGTTAAGGCTAGTACTCTACCACTTGAGCCATAGCTCCACTTCTGGCTTTTTGTTGGCTAATTGGAGATGAGTCTCTCACGTTTGTCTGCCCAGGCTGGCTTCAAACTGGGATCCTCAGATCTCAGCCGCCATGAGTAGCTAGGACTAGAGGTGTGAGGACTTGTCACCCAGCCTAATATATCTTTTTTAAAAATATTTTATTGTTATTATTGAGGACTTGTACATCTAATGAATGTGTCATTATTCAATTGATATTACCTTTCTATAATAATAAGCAACCCCAAGCCGCTACTCAGCTATTACTAGCTACTCAGGAGGCTGAGATTTGAGAACGTTGGTTCAGAACAAAGTTATGCAAACACATCTAAAAGACTCATCTCCAAATAACCATCAAAAGCCAGAAGTAGATACAAGTTGAAGAGTACAAGCCATGAGTGAAAAGGCTGAGCAAAATCACAAGGCCCAGTCTGGAAAGGTGGCTCCGTGGTAGAGTGCTTGCCTTGCATGCACAAGGCCCTGGGTTCGATTCCTGAGCACCACATAAGCAGAAAAAGCCAGAAGTAGCATTATGGCTCAAGTGGTAGGGTGCCGGCCTCACTAGCTGAAGGGTGCTGAAGAGTTGAGGGACAGCACCCAGGCCCAGAGTTCAAGCCCCATGACCGACCCCCCCCCAAAAAAAGCACAAGGCCCCAGGGTTCAAGCCCTAGTGCCAGTAGTAAATAAATAAATGTACAAACAATCTCCCCTGTGTCCCTCACCCTTTCTTTTTCTCTATTTTGCAATGCTGGGGATTATATTCAGGGCCTAATGTATGCTAGACAGACACATACTTCTACTGAGCTACATCATCATCCTTATCCTCACTTTATTTTTGCTGGTCTCAGGGCTTGAACTAAGGGTCTGAGCACTGTCCCAGAGCTTTTTTGCTCAAGGCTAGCACTCTACCACTTGAGCCATAGCTCCACGTCTGGCTTTTTTGATGCTTAATTGGAGTTTAAAAGTCTCACTGGCTTTTCTGTACAAGCTGGCTTTCAACTGCAATCCTCAGATCTCAGCCTCCTGAACAGCTGAGATTACAGATGTGAGCTTACCAGCTTAGCCCCACTTTTTTTTTTTTTGGTCCAGTTGTGGGGCCTGAACTCTGGGCCTGGGCACTGTCCCTCAGCTCTTCAGCTCAAGGCTAGCGCTCTACCACTTGAGCCACAGCGCCACTTCC